TATCCTTCATCAGGACAAAGACTCTTAAATATAAATTTTAAACAATGTCTTAATAAAGTCCAGGCTTTTGGATGGGAAACAAATTGACCTGACGTTATCTGGTGTTGGCTAGCTGTAGGAAATCTAGCCCAGATGTGAGAGACACTTGGTTGTGTCATTTTTTAAGAATCCCTATCAGTCAATTGGCAGATGAAAAACATTCTCACACATGGCAAAGGAGTGTATCAGTTACTGAAGAATTAAGATATTGGCAATGGACAGGTCATGTGAGTGTTTGTCAGACAGAGAGAGAGACGAGGAGTGGTGGTTTAATTTTAAACGGACACACACTGATCCAAAGGATTAAGGCAGGTGTGGTGTCATATAACTGCTTTGCTAAATTAATATATATCTAGTTAGTCTCGGCATTCAAACAGTGAGTCAGTAGAATAATATTGTCCAGGTAGGTTTATACCTTCAGGCAGGCAGACTGAGTGCGGTATTACTAGAGGCTGGCGCTGCTCTACGAAAGTTGTTGGGTTCACTCCAGCGCAGTTGGAAATGGGACACTTATGCACATAACAGACATGACCGACGACACTGGCTCCTCTGCCCAAAGTAGAGGGAGATGAAGTGGTCTGCCAGGAAGCCCAGGCAGTGAAGCTGGACTGATGGTCAGATGTTTGTTCTAGTCTGCATGGAAAAAACCACAGTGTTTACACAATCCAGGACAGAGAGTGGGCCAAACCAGCTCACTAGGGGAATTCAAAACACTTTATCCCAAGAGGGCACCCTGACGAGAAAAAAAACCTGCTGTCCATAAATGGGTAAAGCCAGTAGTGCGGGTATTATTGGGAATAAGAGAGTTCCTGGCAGTGCTCCACAGAACAGAATGGATTCATTTATATCAGCGACTATCACATGAAACGACCCTTTTAATCAATGGCATTAATCATTATTGTTCTTCGTGCAGCCCGTGCATCAGGTTAGTTTGTTGTGGCTAAGCAGCGACTGAGATTTATGCTTGGCTGTGCCGTAAAAGATGTGGCCCTGTGATAATAAATCAATACAGCCTAGTGCTCAGGCAGAAGTCTCTTGAGAGTGTAAACATTTCTCTCACACTATTTCCCAGTGTAAGTGTTGAAGTACTGAAGTGACTGTGGAAGGTGAAAGGACACTTATTTCTGGCTTTTATCCTGCCAACAGTTGTCAAATGTCAAATGAGCTCATGGCTGCATTAGCGCAGATGGACCTGAAATGTAAAGTCGTATAGAGGATGTTTGAATACCACCTCTATATGCACGGATTACAAGGCCTCCATACTGTCTAGCTAAAACATGGGTTACGCTTTATTTGGATAGTCCACCTACAGATATAGTTTAGAGAGCATTTGTAACATTTCAACAGCTTTTCAGTTAAGATTCAACAACTCAACTGTTTGGCTTTATTCTCTAGATGTTTATCCATAAAGTATAAGTGACAGATCATGGAAATACCGACATATTCTAACAATAAGTCATGATATGTTATAGAGAAACATCTACAGACAAAGCAAAACAGTTGAATCTCAATGAATAACATGTTGAAAAGTCTCAATAAACTATCTATAGGTTTGACTATCTAAATAATGTGTTACCAAAACATGTTACAACCTCTTTTCCAAGGTGGAAATACTGATTAAATTGAGTCCTTTTCTTTGTCTCATCCTCTCAAACTACATCACTTTAAGTTGTTATGCTCACACAAGGTGCAATTTCTCCAGACGTAACTATGAACTTGCCAGCGCTTTTCTCCGTTGAGATGTTTTGTTCTACCTTAAATCGTTTTTCATCTCTAACCTGATGCTTCCCACAGTCTGTTCGCCAAACAAATGGTTTCCTTTGTCATTATCAAAGGACAGCTGAGAAATCTCAACAGTTTTGTGCAGTCAGAGCGAGAGACGGGGAACAAAAATGCTCAAGGGTCACGTTTCATTGCGGTCTAAAAATAAGACAATTGAAGTGGCCCTAACAAGCATTAAATATGAACAAATTTCTGAGACATCAAACGCTGGCATTACATGCTATCACTCACATCTCGCATCCTGTGGCGGGACTGACATTTACACCCCGGATAGACACTAAGGCCTCATTATCTAAACTCCCTGCGAAGCAGATGCCTCATTTAGTTCATGTGACTGCGTTTTCTCTTTTTCTTTTTTCTGAATATTTGTAGACACAACGAATTAGCAAAGACTCAAATCTTGGATGAACAGACTCGGAGCTCGGCCTCCCCGCCCAGAGATTGTCTCACCGTTCTCGACACTTGTTGAGGATTAGCACTGTCCGAATAAAGTCAATAACATGTGATATTTCTCTCCCCTGGCATTGCATTTTGAATCAAGCGGCCTTCTTGGATAAATCTGACATTCCTGACTTTCATTACTCAGGAGCTCAGCTAACCCACGCAGCTTACAGTAAAATGAAATATGTCCTTACAAATCTGAGTAACAAACTCTTGGCTCCGGCCCAGCAGCCGGTATTTTGCTTCAGATGCATATTTCGACCTGTTGCATCTGTCACTCACATGTTTATGGACCCGACAGGAAGCTCAGGAAGCGCCTGCCAGAGCAACTGTGACACACATGCATATTCAAAGCTATGATACACTTATCAATACATCATGCAGTGAGAATGCATTGCAAATGGTCTTCATTAAGTGATGTGATTACAGTGAGGATATACTGGAATGTAATGATAGGATTACAATAAGACACATGCTTTCTTAAGCTCTCACAGTTTGTGCTTATATGTGACTGATATAGAACTGTTACAGTTAATTCTGCTTATATTATAAAGTAGAAATATGTTATCACTTCGTCATGCTTCATGCTTATCGTCCACTATCTCACTGAGACCATCTCATAAGAAGTACATCCAAACAATCCCCTTCTCCCACTGTGTGTTTTTTTTTCACCTGTTTGCTTCTCAAAGCTTCTCGCTCCTCATTTCTCTCCCAGACTCACTTTCCACTGAACAGCTCCATCAGTTCCCCCTCCTTCCTCTTCTCCCTCCCACCTTGCCTCCTCCTCTCACTGTCACTGTCTCAAACTGAGGTGGGTCGTTTTTACACTCTCTCCCTCCTCTCCTTTATTCTTTACTCTCAGGACGCAATGAGGTTAACAGCACTGCGCGTATGTGGGATCCTGCTGGCTTTCTCGACCCTGTCTTGGACCACAACAGACTCTGATGAAGGAAACGTCCTGGGGGATCGTGGATTTGGGCCCTGCACTGCAACTTTGAGACCTGAGGGGCTGTGCAGACATGGACAGGATGAGAACACGTGTCCATACCTATTCAGTCTGCCGCCGCTGACTTTCCATTTGCCAAACCAGCTCAGAGAGCTGGAGCAGATCGTGAAGGATTTGCAGAAGCTGAAGGACAACGTGGACCAACTGAGGAAGATGTGTGCAGATTGTACAGTAAGCCAAACTGAGAGAGAGTGTGGAAGGCAAAGAGAGAGACAGCATGAAAAACTGAATGAGGGTACGGATAGACATGAGGATGAGAGGAACTGGCTGAATGAGAGAAAACCTGACAGGCCGAAAGAGTTCGGTTCACGGTGTGGGACAGACAGGGTTAAAGCAGAAAAGATTACGGAGGGGGACGGTGACACTGATTCAGAAAAAAGAACAATTTTGGAAGAGAAAGACAGAAAGAAATGGGAAGCAGAGAGAGGTAGCGATAAAGGGGTCGTAAAAGAAAATGAGAGGGAAGAAACCCTAAAAGAAATGTCAGAAAATTATGGAAAAACTAAAACAGAAGGGGCAAAAGGAAAGGACAAATTAGGGCAGGCAAAGGTGCAAACGGCTGGTGGAAATGAGAGGACAGTGGATATTATCAGCAAAAATGTTGTTGAAAAAAATAACAAGGAGACAGAGACAGACAGAAATAATGACAAAGATGGAAAAGGGAATTCAAAGCGAGATCCAGAAGATAAGTTGGAGAGCGGAAAAGAGAGGGAGATTACTAGTAATGTAAAAAATAAGGAGAAGACAGAAGAAAGTGACCATCACGTGAGGCGACATGAAACAAAGGAAACAGGGAAAAAGACCCAAACTGAAGCAGACAGGGGCAGTGATGGAATAAAGATGTCCGAGGACCATGATGAGCATACAAATAAGGAGCGAGAGCAGCATGGGGAGGAGAGGAAAAAGGAAATGGAAAAGGGAATAAAAGTGGAGCGAAATAATGAGAAACCAAAACAGACTGAAAGCATCGGGCGTGCAGAAAAAGAGACTATAAAAGAGGGGGAGGAGGAGGACGGGGAGGCAGGAAGAGAGATCAAAACAGAGGGAGAAAAAACGGTCCAGAGTGTGCAGAGGGACAGTGATGGAGAATTAGCATCCAGCAAGGCAACTGAGAGGACAGACTTTGTTTCAATCAGTCCGACTCCTCACCCCATCATTAGTTTAACTCCAGGGCACGACTCCATGGACTCAAACGAAGCTACAACCTTTACATCATTTCTTCCATCTCCTCCTTTGTCCAGCTCGACTTCACATTTGGTCACAGATGCCAATCAAGGGATGATAATAGTTGATGATAGACTACCAACTCAAAGCACAGGCCTTGGAGCAGCTGGCATTTCTGAACAGCCGCGCCCTGGTGGAAAGGAAGGCTTTAGGACCACAAGTACGCCAACAACAACAGCCACAATAAACACGTTGGGTGGTCCTGGACAACAGATTACCAGAGCCACTGATGGGTTCACCTCTACAACCCGTGCAAGACCTGGGGCAGGCTTCCAGGGTCGAGTTAGCTCGACTACGGCAACTACTCCTCGTCAGAATTTATACACAACTACATTTCCAGGAGTCGCAGACCGCGGCCGTTGGACAGCTAAAAAGAACATCAGCTCAAACACTAAGACTGGCATGAAACCTCCACCAGGCCGAGGACCAAAGCCTGGTGAAAAGCATAAACCAGCAATTAAGCCTGATGCAGACCAAAAACTAAAAAATCCAAAGAATGACCGTAAACCTGGCGGAGCCCCTTTGCCTGACAGAAAAACAAAACATGACCAAAAGCAGAAGCCTTCCCACCAGAAACCCGCAACTGAGCGAAAATCTAAACCTGGCAAAGACCCTAAACGAGTCCAGGTCCCAAAACCTGACCAAAGACCTCAACCTGATCATTTAGAGACTGATCAAAATCTGAAAAACAATAAAATACCTAAACATGACCAAGAACATACAACTGATCAAAGCCAGTTACCTGTGCAGAAGCCAAAAACTCATCAAAAGGCTATGCCTCCTGTTCACAGACCTGCACCTCATCAAAGACCTCAAACTGTAAATGCAACTGGTTCTGGCAAAGACCCTCGAACTGACCGAGAGACTGAATCTGTTGAAAAACCAATTATTACTAAACCCTCAAAACCTGGGAAAAAGCCAGGTCATCCTCTGACAACTGACAAACTTGACCAAACGCAAAAACCTCACAAGAAGCCGATAGTTGAAGAAAAGCCTAAACCTGATCAAGGGTCTAGGATAAACCAGTATTTCACACCTGACCAAGAGTCTGAACCTGAAACAAGTGAACCAACTAGCTTCACACCAAAATCTAACCAAAAGCCTAAACCTGAACGAGGGTCTGCGATAAACCAGTATTTCACACCTGACCAAGAGCCTGAACCTGAAACAAGTGAACCAACTATGTCCACACCAAAATCTAACCAAAAGCCTAGACCTGATCAAGGGTCTGCGATAAACCAGTATTTCACACCTGACCAAGAGCCTGAACCTGAAACAAGTGAACCAACTAGCTTCACACCAAAATCTAACCAAAAGCCTAAACCTGAACGAGGGTCTGCGATAAACCAGTATTTCACACCTGACCAAGAGCCTGAACCTGAAACAAGTGAACCAACTATGTCCACACCAAAATCTAACCAAAAGCCTAGACCTGATCAAGGGTCTGCGATAAACCAGTATTTCACACCTGACCAAGAGCCTGAACCTGAAACAAGTGAACCAACTAGGTCCACACCAAAATCTAACCAAAAGCCTAAACCTGAACGAGGGTCTGCGATAAACCAGTATTTCACACCTGACCAAGAGCCTGAACCTGAAACAAGTGAACCAACTAGCTTCACACCAAAATCTAACCAAAAGCCTAGACCTGATCAAGGGTCTACAATAGACAAATATTTTACACCTGACCAAGAGCCTGAACCTGAAACAAGTGAACCAACTGGCTTCACACCAAAATCTAACCAAAAGCCTAAACCTGATCAAAAGCTTAAACCTGATCAAGGGTCTACGATAAACCAGTATTACAAACCTGACCAAGAGCCTGAACCTGAAACAAGTGAACCAATTAGCTTCACACCAAAATCTAATCAAAAGCCTAGACCTGATCAAGGGTCTACGATAAACCAGTATTTCACACCTGACCAAGAGCCTGAACCTGAAACAAGTGAACCAACTAGCCTCATGCCAAAATCTAACCAAAAGCCTAAACCTGATCAAGTGTCTATGATAAACCAGTATTTCACACCTGACCAAGAGCCTGACCCCGAAACTAGTGAACCAACTAGCTTCACACCAAAATCTAACCAAAAGCCTCAAACAGAATTAAAGGAAAAGTCTGATGAAAATCCTAAATCTGTCAAAGACTCAACACCTGGACAAAAGCTCACACCTGATCGTGGCCCAATCAAACGCCCTGATCAAAACCCTAAACCTAGCCAGAAATTTCCTAAAACAAACCAAAGGCCAAAACCCAACCAAAAACATCCAGAGCTTGTAACAGGCCAAAAGACGAAACCAAACATGAAGCCTAAACCTCCACAAACCAATCAAGGTATTAGAACGCCTCGGCCTGACCAAATGCCTGACCTTAACCCCAAATCCGTGCGTGATGAAATTCCTGAAGCACAATCTAACAAAACATCCAAACCGAGGCCTCCACCCAGACACAGGCCACCAACCAGACCTACACTCAGGCCAGGAGCAACACCCCTTCAAAGGCCAAAACCAGCAGTGCAACTAGAGCCAAGTCCAAAGACCAAAACAGACTTAGATCCCCTTCAAATCAGCGGGACTGATTCAAACAACATCCAAGACTTTCAAACTGACATGCCACCTGCACCAGGCCCTGCAACACAGATTGGTGAAGTCACTCATGCTCTGGGGGTCACAGAGTTCAGTCCCAGCACGATGAGAACTATCACTGCGGGTCCAAAGACCTCCAACAGCCTGGAGACTGGACCCTTCCCTCGCCCTCACACTCTCTCTGAAGGCTTCACGATGAGCCCAAACAGCAGGATTACGTCTGATCTGAGGCCACAAACAGCCGGTCAACCACCATCGATCCCAATGACAACAAAACCAAACAAAATCATCCATGGGATCCTCCCAAGTGTTATCCCTAGCACAAGTCCAGAATCCACAAAGCCAAATCTAGCATCTAATACTGACTCCAGCTTACAAGCTAAGATACTCCACAGTGTGGAGGAAGCAGCACCCACACAAACTCCAGATCCAGACAAAATGATGATTCCAGTCCCTACACGCAGTGCCCAAACTACCTCCACAATCAGCCCTGACCTCAGGTCAACAACCCCTGCCACCTCTGGCCCCGAGCCCCCAGCTGTGGAGTCTTCCACTCCCAGTGCACGAGAGCTGCGTGTGAAAATCAACCAGGTGGCCGCTTTCCTCAACAACAGCCTGACTCCAAATGGAAGGCCACCGGACAGGCGTCCAAAAGAGCACCTGGGGGACAACAAAGGAGGCAGCAGACCTGAAAATAAAGTACCAGCAGTGAAACCGTCTAAAGGCAAGTGATATTTTATTGCTCAATCTATTTTGTTTTTGAATGCATGCATGAATTTCCACATATAAAGGGTAACTTCATGCAGAGATTGTTGTTATTATTGATACAGCCAACATGTAATTATTAGCCTGCTTTGAGAGACAGCATTGATTAGCACCACAATGTATAATACTGTAATAGCTGCTTTGTTCCAACAGCCAACTCAAAGAAATGTTTTAATATTCACTGCACGCGGAAGAATTAAAAATGAAGAGTGAGAGAAGCGGAGGCATGTGCAACGTCATAGTGAAATTTACAACCAACCCCATAAAAATCCATTGTCTTTTGCTGACATTACATCATAATAACAAGAGAAAAGTGTTGTGCATTAGTATCTGGGGGATTATAATTGTATTACTCACTCGGCAAAGTGGTATGACCTGAGCTAAAAGGATTTTAAATAAGAGGACCACACGGTAAGCACTAATGATCCTCATATAAATGTATGATGAAAATCAACACTGGGAGGGCCACATATGAAACAAGCATCAGACACATAATTTCCTGCATTCTGGTGATAATTATGCACCATTTTATGTATTTTTTGCATCAATTTATGGTGGTAATGTCTTAAGTATTGTCAAAATAAAAGTTTTCTCCTGTGCATATGTTCTAAATATATAGGAGGACATTTCCCGTCCATCCCCCTGCTATCTACACCTACAGTTATGATATAATTTATGTGGTCTGAGATCATCTTTATGCCATGCATCGTGGCTAAATGAGGAATTTGCATGTGCATGCAAAATGTTTGTGTGTCCCAGCGGGTGTCATGATTAAAAACCTCAACTATGTGTAGAGTAACAGCTTTAAAACATCCTTCGGTGTGTGGCTCACAGTAAGCAAATACTTTGGCATTGAATGAATCTAATGGATTCTTTAGTTTAGCATTTGAGTTCAGCAGCTGCGTATGAATTAATAACGACAGTCTGCTTATCATGCAACAGGTGAAAATCTTATTTACAGATTCTAGCATACTGATATTTGTGTTTATTTATCAAATCAATCACAAATACTGTTGCTATTTTACAGTTACACATTTTTACTATTGCACTTCTATCTCTCAATACAGTTTGTGTATCTGTACTGTGGAGGCCCACCTTGGAATTCCTGAAAAACACTAAATATTTAATGGTGGAAAAGCAGCTTTGCCCTGACCTGATGCCCTTGTGACCTCTCCTAACGCATTTCACGGCTGCACCACAGCTGCACGATGATATTATCACTTGAAAGATATGAGCAGAAGCAGACTTTGGTTAAATGTTGGAGGGCATGTTTTGGCCTGGAAGATTTTTCAGAGACAGCTGCTAATAAGTCATTGTGATTTCCTTATCTGCAGTTACCATGCCGAGAGACTGCTCCGACCACCTGCTCAGGGGGGAGACAAGAAGCAGAGTGTACCTGGTGACCCCTGACCTCCGCAGCAGAAGCTTCCCAGTCCTCTGTGACATGGAGCTGAATGGAGGAGGGTGGACGCTCCTGCAGCGCCGGCAGGACGGCAGCGTGAGCTTCAACCGCACCTGGGCTGAGTACCGAGCAGGCTTCGGGGAGCTGGACGGAGGGGAGTTCTGGCTGGGCAACAACATGATCCACCTGCTGACCCGGGACAGGGACATGGTGCTGCGGGTGGAGCTGGAGGACTTTGAAGGGGTGATGGAGTATGCAGAGTATGAGCACTTCAGGGTGGCGAGTGAGCGGCTGCGCTACAGGCTGTCAGTGGGTGGTTACTCTGGGACTGCAGGTGATGCTCTCCGCTTCAGTAAGCAGTACGACCACAACAACAGGGCGTTCACCACGCCGGACAGAGACAACGACCGCTATCCATCCGGGAACTGCGGGGCCTACTACAGCTCCGGCTGGTGGTTTGATGCCTGCTTGGCTGCAAACCTCAACGGGAAGTACTATGCGGGGAGGTACAAGGGAGTCCGGGACGGGATCTACTGGGGGACATGGCACAACATATCTACAGAGTTTTACCCCACCAATGACAGACAGTCTTTTAAAAAGGTTAGGATGATGATCCGACCAAAGGGCTTTGCACCATGAGCTGAGACTCAAAGAGTCCGACTACCAACTTCAACCATAAACTCTTGTGATGCTCATTACAGTTCAATAAACCCAGCATACCCTCCACAGCTGTTATACTATAAACACAATGCTGCCGCCTTGTGGCGTTTGGTTCTGCAATACTGATTTTTAAACAAAAAAAAAAAAAAAAATTTAAGGCCTACAGGATGATATGACAATAACTGAGGGTGTACATAGTCATAAACGTTACGGTCATAATTACGAAGTATCTTTTTTAATAACCTTTAATATTAAGGGACTGTTCTTTATTTATCAGAGGAGGGGGTGGCTTATTAGATTACTATTAGATTTTTAAAACCTCACCTTTGATGTTTAAAAGTTAGAAATTAAAGATAAAATCCTGGAGTTGAAAAAAGCCTCAGTTTCTCAATCATGTTCATGCAAATGTTTATTTTTGGCCAAATTTTAAATGAAACGTAGCATAAAATGATTTTGATGAAATATCACTATTTTAAAATTAGATTTGGTCCTGGTTTTTTTCTGTTGAAAGAGTTTGTTGCACACATTGTGTCAAAATCCGATGATAATTTCTGTTTTTACAGGTTCTGACTATGATAAATGGTGTAATTTCTGTGATTTTTAAAATAAAACATGCCAATGCCATTAAAAAAATAAAGCAAAAATACAACCATTTAAATTTGTATACCCCTACCCACCTGCTCTCCTCTCACAAGTAACAAACAGTCCCTAGTATGTCTCTTTTTTGAATGGACTTTGTTTAATGACGGGAGAGGTAAATTCTCTTGTGAAGAGTTATTTTTTTGGTGAATCTGACGGGTATGTGGCAACAGAGAATGATATTTTTATTATTACAGTACTGGAAAGCCAGTTGATGGTTGATTGAAGCTGTATGGGATGTTTTATAATTAAGATTGTTTTGTTGAGATAAATAAAATTGATGAATAACCTATGTGAATATGGATTTCCTTTTGTTTCTCCTTATTTCTGTTCAAGTTATCTGCAAACTAAAGTAAAATAACCCATAGATTCAATAACACGTTGAGTTAAACCCACATTTTCCACAGAGAAGCAACCACAGACTCCTCAGAGACATGCGACCCATCAGATTTACATGACTGATGTTACTTAAGTCTGGCCCACGTAGCAGGCTACAATTTTGGACGCGAGGACTCAAGCTCCCTACAGCCTTTGCGAAGAGAACCACACATGTGACGTGTTCATCCAGGTTTACTGATTGGACAAGACTTAAAGAGGGGCGGTGCTACGTTTACACAAGACTGTGTATCCGGCTTGTCAAGTTGAAGTAACGCAGACTAAAACCGGAAGTAAAATATTTTCCCTTCAATATAAGAGAACACAAAACTCCGAGGGATAGTGCGAGCTGCTGGTATTAGCTCTTTAGCTCATTGTTTCAATCTAAAGTGAGAGTTCTCCTCAGTATTTGCAATGTGTAGTATCAACCGCGTTAGCCAGGCAACTGTCCTGGGGCCCCTAAAACACAGGGCCCCTAAAAGTTCTAGGCCTAATGTGTGTCATTTTGCGAAAGATTTAGATAAAAATCTTCAGCACAGAAATTACAACAAAGCCATAGATCACCATGGAAATATTTTTTAAATGTATCATGTCTTTAGAATAACTATATGAGTATAGTGTAAAATAGTGATACTCAACTTAGTGCAAACAGGCCAAATCAGGCCCTCAGTAGGGTGTCTGGTGGCCCGCCAACCATTTCATAATTCATAATGAAAATTAATAAGTTAATACTGACAATTTTGGTTCATACATTTAAAGTTTATAAAGTGCCAGAGTGAATAAAAAGAATAAAGATGGAGCTTTTGTCAGTGAATGAATACATAAATAAACACACAAACAAACAAATAAATAGATAAAAATAAGAACAAAATAAATTAAAATCCTTGGACCCCCTGACAGAGGTCTGGGCTGACTATTTATATATTAATTATTAATGTTTGTTTATTAAATGGCCCCTAGCCTCTTGTCATTTTACAAGAGTGGCCTCTGGGCAAGCAAGTTGAGCATCTCTGGTGTAAAATGTATAGTTACACTTGTGAAATAAGTGTTAACATTTACATAACTCCTGCTTTAAATATATACTTTAGTATCAACGTATATTTTTACCAAAGGTGCTTCATTACTATTCTCACTACAACTCACCATTGTACTTAGATGCTGCGTGTTTATTTTTTTTATTGTGTGACCTTGTTTATGTATTATCATTTCCCGTTTAAATATATTGTTTTATTGGTTAGAGAAATTAATATCATACCAAAGCTGAAGAAAAGGTTGAGAGCTGTTGAAAACGTTTTCAGTCAGCTTGAGACTTGTAGATGACGCTTTTATTCTGAAATCTCGCACTGGAAGTATGAGTCTCACGTTAACAGTATAACAGATTTGACAGCGTGGTGACAGTTCCTGTTGACTGAATGGCAGGTTGTTGAGCTCGGTAGTTGAGTTGTGTATTAGTAGTATCAGCAGCAGTGAGGTGTGAATGAGCTGGTTTACCGGGAGGTGACAGAGATGTCTTGGAGCTCAGCAGGTCGGCGGGGATGTGTCGGACTCCTCCGCTGCTGGTCCCTCACAGTCGGTGCCAGGACACCTGTGACCCCTCACTGCCCTCTGCATGCTTCACGGTTCTTCTCCATCTCTGCCTCTGTGAGGTCTCCAGCACAGGAGGAGGTGAACCAGCCTCTGAAGCGGTGGTCCCTGGCGGTGAGTCCCTTCAGCACGGTGCGGGCACAGCTGGGCTGCAGCATCTCCATCCAGCCGCTGGACCCACACGCCTTCCCTGAGGCTGACCGAGCCTTCATCACAGTTCACGGGACAGACACCGAGCAGGAGGTCTGTCTGGATCACTTACACGTCCACTATGATGACCAGAGCAAAGAGCTGCTCATCTCAGCTGAGAAGGTCAACAGCAGTGTGTCTATTGATCTGACTGCGCCTATCAAAAGTAGTGAGTGCCTCCTACTAATGATGATGATGATGATGATGATGATGCAGTTATGGATGAAAATGACCTTTCTAATTCTTTACTATTGTTGGCTACTAATACCACACTGAAAATACTCCACTACACCTGACTGAAGTAAAAGTATGTATGCGGTATCATCAAGTGTTGGGGAGACTGCTTATGGTTGTACCACTTTTTATTTCAGCACCTATAACTTTATTAATTTTAGTTTTACTACCCTCAAATGTTGACACAAAGTACCCTTATTTGTGAAGCACTAATAGCAATGTTTCCAATTCTCCAACTATTTTATAGAATTCATTATTTAATATCAATTCAAAACCTCACTAAGGTAATATGTAAGTACTATCAGCAAAATGTAGAGGACACTGCATATGGTTGGTACTACTTTTTGTCTCAGCACCTATAACTTGCTTAATTTTAGTTTTACTACCCTGAAATTTTGACACAAAGTACCCTTATTTGTCAAGTACTAATATCACTGTTTCCACTTCTCCAACTATCTCACAGAATCCATTATTCAATATCAATTCAAAACCTCACTAAGGTAACATTGTCAGCTAAATGTAGGGGAGACTGCTTACGGTTGTACCACTTTTTGTCTCAGCACCTGTAACTTGCTTAATTTTTGTTTTACTACCTTCAAATTTTGACACAAAGTACCCTTATTTGTCAAGTACTAATAGCAATGTTTCCACTTCTACAACTGTTTCACAGAATCCATTATTTGATATCAATTCAAAACCTCACGAAGGTAAAAGTATTTAAGTGCTATTAGCTAAATGTAGGGAGACTGGGTATGGGTGTACCACTTTATGTCTCAGCACCTATAACTTGTTTAATTTTTGTTTTACTACCCTCAAATTTTAACACAAAGTCCCCTTGTTTGTCAAGAAGTAATAGCAATGTTTCCAATTCTCCAACTATTTCACACAGCTCATTTACTGGTATCAAATACAAGGAGTTCAATTGTTACAACCTGTCCCACTGCCAATGTAACTTCTAACAATAAGAGTGAAGAATTAAAAATTAAACAGTGGATACATTCATTAATTACCAAGTCCTACTAAGGTCTAACTTGCTAACCTGTTCCTGTCAGAGGCTTAGTGCCTCACATGGAGTGAGTCCACAATACAAGTCTGCTGCTGCTGTAGTCAAGTCACCTTGTTTCAGCTTTGTGACGATGCATTTCCCAGCTGATCCAAGAGGGGTTTTGAGGAGTTTATTTAGCTTAAGTAGTCATAGAATTTCCTCAACATATAAAGGAGCATTTCTGCATCTGCACATGTGGAGATTCGTGGTTTTTACTTGACAGAAAGCAGATTAAAAACTGTAATCTGAAAACTAATTTAAGATGCAAGATAAATGCAGATAAGTAAGAAGTACAACATTTCCCTCTGAGATGTAGTGGAGTAGAAATATTTGTTTATTTCCATAAAATTTAAATACTCAAGTAAAGTACACGTACCTTGAATTTGCACTTAAGTACAGTAAACGTACTCGGTAATTCCACCAATGCAGTCTTGAATGTCTACAGTAGGGTCCATCATTGATCCTTATGGTGCTTTCAAATGTCCTCACATTTTTTTCAGCAGTTGTCATGACCCTGTCTCTGTCCTCTGGTGTCTCCTTTTGTCAGATGTCTTCATTACTGCTCGAGGAAAAGGCAACGTGCAAGTGAAGAAAATGGAGTGTGATATCTGCAAAGTGAAAACAGAGAAGGGAAACTGTCTGCTGCACTCTGTCAAGGTAGGTGGTGGCATGGCAGCATAGACATGAGCAGATTTGCTTGTCTCACTACTCAGGCCAAACTTGACCCACTTTATCAAAGTGCTCTGAGACAAATTTCAAACTCAGGTTGTAGGACTCTTCACTTCACATTGTACAGTCTGGTCAGATGGTCTTCACTTGCTCTGCACAGGATGCAGCACTGGTATATTGTAATGTACAAGACCATCCTAGGCAGGTTACCCATGCACATATGCTTTAAGTTTTTGAGTGTATAAAAGACCTACAATCTTAGATCCAATAAATGTCAACACGCAGACAGAGGCTGGAAAATGAGTCTATTTTAATACAGCCCATGGTGTTGAAGGGACCTGCTGCTGGACTCAATCTCGGCTGCCTCATTTCTCTAAACAGTTTTAAACAAAAGTAAACCAAAGTCCTTTCCACAAACAGTTCTTTCTAAAATGCATCATACCTAGAAGATATGTGTGTATGCACAAGTCTTGCTTTTGATTCATGGACAGTAGTTTTTCACTCCTTACCATTTGTGATGCATTGTTTTGGTATTTTATTGTATGTATGTAGTCGACGTGTGTATGGCAAGCCGTTTTAACATTTAATCACTAAGTTTGACTATCCGAAATTACCATTATGGATATCTATAACGTCATTTTGACTAGTAGTAATGTCATTGTGACTAGTATGAATTTTAATTTAAGATATCTTTAACGTCATTTTGACTAGTCAAAACTGAATTACAGATATCTGTAACGTCATTTTGACTAGTCAAAACTACAGTTACAGATATCTGTAATTCAGTTTTGACTAGTAAGATTCAAACTATTTTTGCCATTCATGTGTATGGGGTTTGTCATTATAGATATCTACAATTACATTATGACTATCTGTAATTCAGTTGCGGATATCTACAACGTCATTTTCACTAGTCATAATTCAGTTACAGGTATCTACAACGTCATTTTGACTAGTCATAATTCGAATTCAAGATATCTACAACGTCATTCTGACTATCTGAAACTCAATTCAAGATATCTAGAAAGGACCATGTAGATATCTTCAATTGATGATAATTAAAGATATCTTGAACTTGAATTATGACTAGTCAAAATTAAATTGTAGATATCTCAAACTGGAATTACAGATATCCACAATTCAGTTGCAGATATCCGCAATAACAATTGCAGATATCCGCAACTACAT